ACCTGTACTAGTGTAGAAGCAATACTTCTTTGATTTTCAGATGAACTCCTGCAAAAACTCTCACGCAGAGTTGGCTTATATCTTGGAAGCCTTTGAACATACTGTCTTAGATACCAGCTTAGGAAAGCAAATGAATAAGCAATCACACATTCAGACAGGATCAACAACTGCAGCACCAAAGGCAGCAGCCATGTATTTCCCTGGGCAAAATCCTCGAGCTGTCTTTGAGCCAGGATTCATTTCCCTTTTGTCTTTCCTTGAGTTTTCACTTTCATTACTTAGAGAAATGTAAGGTTCCCATGGCTTCAGGGAACTACACTAACATCTCAGCTAAGTCATAGCTATAGAAGAAAAGCCCTGTTATAAACTGTTAAATATTGCATAGAGATAGCAGTTTACTGTTACACAGAAAATATCTACAAATAGACAGTTAGTGTATTTTAGTTGCTATCTGGTGTGTCATTGTAGCCACTGTTCCCCTAGCACTTCCCATTGACTTGCTTTCTGTGTCTCTAGCTTGAAATACAGTCTCTTTATGGCTAGAATAAAGCTCTGCATTTCACAAAGTAGTTCTTAAAATACATTCAGATAAACAATCCACTGAGAAACAGGGTTCCCTATATATTTTTTTTTATCTTCTGACTGTGAATGCAAGCTCTCACTGAAGCCTTTTTTTTTTTTTTTTTATGTCTTTAGAGCTATTATAAGGGCTCACTCCTTTGTGGATTCTCCTCTCTCACTTCAGGGGTTTCTTCCCACTCCTAGGTGCCTGCTTTCACAAACACTGTAGGACATCATTGTCTTTCAGGACTCTACACTTCTTCCATAGCTATAAGAAGCAGTGCAAGAATTCAGAGGCATTTTATGGACCCACAAAATAAGAGGATTGTCAATAAGGAAAAGAATAAAAAGTACTTTGGTTACACCAGAGCTCCTTATTTAGCTGTACTTTCTGCACAGAACTGCTTGTAACTGCAATATTTTAGAAGGAAGAGAAAGCATCACGCAATGCTAATGCACATTCACATATCTCTTTAAGCCAAGAGTCAGCCACCTTGAAGACTACTTAACATAGGGTCAGAACAAAATGACAGACTTTTAGTGCCACCTCCCAGCACAGATAACATACACTCAATAAGTGCATTGAGAAATTCTGGCCCTACTACAGCCACAAGGATTTTGATTTGCAAAAAACCATGTTTTCATCCTGATATTTACTCTATAAGCAACTCACTGGTTTACAAGCTTTTGTAATATACCTCTGGATTATGAAGAAATATGTTGAATTTCCAAGTCTGGTCATGGCAAATCACCACTGAGCAAAAGAACAAAGCTTGCCTCCATTACTGACAGATTTAGGCAGAATGGTGAAACTTGAATTAAAAGCATCAAAAGCCCATTTCTTTCTGGCCACCTCATCTAAATGAGTCTAAACTCCCCAGTGTTTTCCCAGGTATTCCCATAACCTTGCTATCCCAAGTAGCTTGGTAGTCAGATCCTTTCAAAATCAAAATTCAAGGAATAAGGCAAGGATCCCAATCTGAGACATTTGACACCTGTACTGGGAAAGTCAAGTTTAAAATAAGACAGTTGTGGTCACTTTCTTTAAGGCATCACTGGATTCACATAAGAGAGAGGAATGGATTCATCCACCTTTTAGACAATAAGTTCATGGTTGTACAACTTTTCCAAGTAAGTGGCATTTCAGCCTATATTCCCTACCCAGCAAGGTGCATCTCAGCTTCTGCTAGGATGGTCCCCTCCCAGATTCACATCCTGATGAATTTGTGCTGTGGAGCAGAAGAAAATTCAAGACTTTTTGGTCTAGAAAGACAAAGGAATAAAAAGCATCTCTTTATTCTAATTGTTAGGGTACTCAGCTGGGAGGGAGATGTCCTGCTTTTGATCCTTACGGTGTTTCTGTGTTTTTCCCAGCTATTCATTTCATGCACAGCAGGAACAAAACCCAAGTTCTCACCCCTCCCAGGCATACACCTTAAGGTTCAAAAAAATTCATATTTCAACATCTTTCCCGGATGAACAGCTAAAACAGTAACAAAATTTGTGGGTACATTACCTTAAAGGACCAAAAATCTTACAAAAATATTGAAACCAAGAACAGTTTTATAACTAAATTAAATTAAATAGAAAATTAAATGAATTAATTTTTTTTAAAAAATTAATAATTTTATAGTTAGCTGCCAAGATGAGGGAGGGAACACAAAGAATAACACTCAGAATTAAAGTCCTTCTTTTACTATTGTTCATGTAACAATTTCACAACTCTAATTCTTTACTCCTTCTGCAAACTTGACAGTAATATCTTTAAATACTATTTTACTGATTTATATACAGAAGCCAATGCAAAAGGCATTTCTATAGCACCTTTCATCTGAAAACTCAGTAAACTCTACAAATAGCAATTAAACTTCATAACACCTAACTACCTCCCTCCAATGCATTAACAGCTCATTTTAGAGCTGAAGAAACCAGGGCAGGGGGAAGCTGAGTCATGTACCCAAGATCACGTAATAAACCCATCCTGTAACTCCAAAATGTCTCTTTACATGTTTAAAGTCCACAAAATATTTATAGGGTCTGATTAAGAAGAAAAATTAATTTCCTGAAATTCACAGTTGACTTTTAAAGTAATTGGCATTAGGATACTATAAATATGCTTTTCTTGATAAAGTATTTGCTACAAAACCATGCTCAATACTACTCTTCTGAATCTTCTTTGAAAATCAGAAGTGAAAGTCCCTGTTTCTGCACTATACAAGCATCAGGTCACTCACACTGGAGCATAACACATTGGTCTTATAAAACCTATAATCTAGACAGTTTGCAAGAATGAGGAATGCTTCAAGACTTGCCAAAAGCCCTTTTGAAAAAAATGAACGATTTGGGTCTATTAATGCTTTTTTTTTTTTGCTTTGTCTAAACCTGTGTATGCATGATAAAAGAAAAGTGTCTTAAAGAGGTTAAAAAAATCAGATAAAGAGGCCAGCTTTCACTGTTGGCATTTAACTCCTAGGCACGTGCATACCGTTACTGTTGATGATATAGAACGTATACAATACTGGTTTGTGGCATTCAGTGGATGTTAACAAAGGAAAAGGACAAGCCACATTTAGAACTAGAAATAGCTCTTCCAAGGAAAAACAGATATAACTTCTTGATTATTCAGATTACAGATCTCTAAATTAAACGACTCACCCCAAAATCCAAGCAGAACTTAGCAGGTTCTCTTTGTAACACATTACACGTCTATCACCAATTGCAACTGCACATCCTGTACTGAGATTAGAGTAGGTGATTATCTACATTTTGTGATTTGTTTAAAAAAAGAAGACACCTGTATGCTACAGAAAAGGATTCGCTCATCGATTAAAAAAAAGAGACATGCAGATGGATAAAACATACAAAGCCTAATTTTACAGCACAGACAAGAGCAATTTCAGTTCATTGAAAACACCTCTTTAATGAGAAAATTAACAATTTAAGAGCAAAGGCCAGTTGCACAGCCATTATACAAAAAATGTCATGAGATGATAAACAGCAACTGCTTTTGATAATATTCCTCCCTGTTGAGGGGCCAGGACAAGGGGGATGCAGAACTGAAGCCTGATCTTGAAGATTAATGTGGTGCTCATGGGAATTTTACCACCTTGCATAAAGATCCAGTTTAGAACTAGAAAGAAGGAGAAAATGCAAAGAGCAACAAAAGCCTTCTAGCAATACTGGAGAGAGAAAAAGAGGGAAAAAAAAAGAGTGCAGAGAATTCAAAAACTACTTATCATGAAGGCAAGGGGAGCTGAGCTGTACAGACAGCTACGTGTACAAGCCCTCTGCAGAGAAGCCTTGCGTGGCATAGCTTGAAGGAAAACAGACGGCTCTAGCCAGGGCACAGTGAAAGTCAAATCCAGGCTGACACAATCATATATTCAAAGCACACCAGTGCTGATTAGCACATCACCATGCTAGCTGATCTACATATTTGGCACTACCTTATATCAAAATCAAGATTTTTGAAAGGGGTAAATCAATCCATTTCACAGAAAAGATAAGATCTTAAAATATGAAATCCAGTCAAGCTCCTCTTAACCCCCTGATACTCAGTCTTAACACTGAGATGAGTTGCTGGGCTGCTGCAGAATGCCTTTAGCTTCCTGAGCATGATTCATACATTTAAGCAAGGACAGCAATAACAACCGTCAAACTTGAGCAAAAGCATGCACTGGAAGACATTTGTCTAGGAAATCACAGAGGGCTAAATCCTAATTTGAGAACTGCAATGCAGTATTTGCTGGCACAGATATTGCTGTATTTCTTAGTGCAACTGGCCCCACAAAACTGTCAGAACCTGGAATTCAGAATTTTCATTGTCTGTAAAATCACAAGGTAAAATCACTCCTAAGCTTCATCAACCCAGAGTATTTTCAGCCCCATAAAGCATTAGTGAACTTCCAACATTAACAGATCCCATCCTTCATTTTGCCCTAGCGCATTATTGAACAGAAACGGGTCTGCTTCATGCACCACAGGACCTTACAACTGGCTTGGCTGAACACCTGCGTGACACTTCGCATTTAGAGGGATGTGTTCTCATACAGCAGGGCATCCCAAGGTTTTTTCCAAGGAAGTCTGTATGCTTCCAAATGCTTTCCTAAGCTTCCTATGCTATCAGATGAGCAATGGTAAGATTCATAGGACCCATTTCCATAATGGGATCATCAGCACAACTTCAGTGATTTGAGGCAGAGAGAGTCTTTTGTCAAAGGACAACAACCTTTTGTCTGCGTATATGAAAAGCCTAGCGTAACAGCATCCAAAAATATTCTACAGAGAGAAAATAAGGGCTGGCAGATGGCATAGATTTCTCCTACTGCTGTACCTGTAACTGTACCTGGTACACAGATGTAACTGTGCATGACCTACTGTAAACTGTGTAATATTTTTCTTGCTTCCAACTGACTTTTTTTGTCCCCTCTCCCTTTCAAATGCAAACAGCTGACAAAGTGAACGATGACTTCTACACCAAACGCCGCCATCTTGCAGAACTGGCTGCCAAGGGGAGCCTGCCCCTCCACCCGGTGCGCCTCGATGACGACAGAGCCTACACAATCGACAGCGGCCTGACCAAGCAGAACGGGCAGAAATCGAAAATGGCCAAGATCCACACGCACCCCTTAGGTTACAATTCCCACTACAAGACCTGGGATCCCAACGACCAGTCGCTCAGACGGCAAGCATACACAAACAAGGGGAAGCACGGGATGGCAGACCCGGCGCTGAGCGACCCGCTGACGACCCGCAGCCAGCATTACTTGGGCCCGCAGCCATACTTCATAACTAACAGCAAGACAGAAGTAACTGTTTGAGTTTGTTTTCCCTTTCTTTTTTTTTTTTTTTTTATGAAATCCTTTCAAAATCACACGCAAATGCACACAAAACAAACACTCAACTGAAAGGCAAAAAATAAATTTTAAAATATTAAATAAAATGAAAAAAAGGAAATGGAAGGAAGGAACTTTCACCTGGACACTCTTGGTACCCAGCCAACCGCAGGCCGACGAGTGGGTTAACACCATTCAGCAATACACACTGAAGGTTGAATTATAAACTCCATTTCTATTTCACAATGGAACACAAACCCTTGTGACTAAATTTTTTTACTTGAAACTCAAATCCATGATGAGAAGTAGCACAATCTAGAAAAACTTTATGTCTGCTTAAACATTTACACTATATTCCTGCCTTGAGACAGAGGAAGAAAGAGAGAACAATATGCTGTAATATATTATTTCAGAGAGGAATTTTGTATAAAACCTATTAATAATCAATAGACCTGTGAAAAGCCAAGAGCAAACATCTTGGCACAACCCTTAACATCTATTATTGTACTTTTACACCATCCCATAGAAAGCGCAAAAAATATATATACAATAAGGGACAAAGACTCTTTCACAAGGAATTTATGAAGACTGTTACGATTAAGAGCATATGGGATCTTTCTGGCTGGTAGAGAATTCTGCAGGATGATAACAAACAGCAGAAGATTTTATTTCTGTTTACTTCATTTGATTTGAAATTTTTGGGAACCTCTAAAATAAGAAGAGACATATCATGTAACACAGAAAGCTGCTGGGAGAATAAGGGCATCAGAATATTCCCTCTCAGTCCTCGTGTTTTCAGGCAGATGGTAACAATTCTCAGTTTGCAGACTGTCAGGACTTTTTCTTCACCTAAATGTTTTGCCTATCTTCAACTGCTTCAGACTGAAATTAAGCGTGGGTGGTGCCTTTACTGTATTACTATTGTTCAATGACAGTCTCGTTTCTCAAAGTGACCCCTCTGTTCCTTTAAGCTATTTCCTCATGTTTTGCTAAGGATGACAAGGGTTCTGCCCTGCTCAGCCTCCTCTGTTGGTCCCGAAGGGAAAATGGACTACATCTCCATGCAGTGGTTGCACACAGTCAAGACTATTTAGTTAGCCCCTCCGTTTTCCCAATTTAAACTTCCCCCTCTAGTCTCTCATTTTGTACTTGCTTTTAGCCATGGTAGTTCTCTGTAGTTCAACTAAATGTTCTATGGTATATTGTCTCTATCCTTTGGCTTTCTGTAGTGGCATTCCCTCTTGGTGGACTATTTGGTGGAAAAGGCTAATGGACTAGCCTCAAACGTCAAAGAGATCTGGGTTTAAACTAAACAAACAATTGGACTCATGGTCTTGACTTACGGTTCTGATGAGCTGGATGCCTCATTCGTATGAGTAAAACTACTCTCGAATTGGGCATTGGTGGCAGATTCACAGTCCTGAGCCTGTAAAGGCTTCAGCACATCCACAAAGAGATAAAGAGAGCTGGGATAGGATGGCAGTGCTGCAACAGCCTGATGGCAGGCCAAGCGCTCAGTGTTTCACTTAAATTCCTGCCCTTCCCCCAAGACAAGTCATTTGGCTAAATCCTAACTAGCTATTTTACTACAGTTGCATTCTCACCAGCTGTCAGTTCTTCTGGAGATTAGTTTTGGAAGAGTACATAGGGAGGAGTGAGAACCGTTATGTTGTAAGAAGAATTGGAAGTGGTATTTCCTACTGCACTCAGCTGACTGGCAGTGTTTCTTCTTAGTCAAGGACGCAAGGGCTAAGAATTTGAAATTTGAGTAAATGGAGAGAGCTTTTTTTTAGCTATTTGGAGATTGATTTGCATCCTGAGAGCACCGGCATCTCTCCATAAGTGTGCTGCTAAATTGTGTGATCTTATATTTTAAGACTATCAGAAGTGGAGAAAGCCCATGGGACAAATACTTTGCACACAACCCAGATTCTCCATTATCTTACTTTTATTCCTTTAATCTTTATTGCCTTCACAACTGGCTGACTTAATTTGACCCTTTATGGAATGTTGCTGTTAATCCATATGCTTTAGATACACATTACAGCTGCACTCTAATTCACACAGGTTTCGTGTAACTTGAGCATATTTTATGTGGAAATATTTTAGTAACTGTATGTTCTGTAAGTAAACCTGTGTTAATACTTGTTAACTACAGAGTTTATGATACCAATAATACTTCCTACAATAAAATGTTTGTTTGTTTTTTAAGAATGTTTATTTGTAAACATATGTATTCACTATATTAATATGAATTTCTTACCTGGCAATAAAACTGATTCTATGTGAATCCAACTTGCTGGCTCATTCCTAAACTTCTATCACTGAGCCAATTTTTGAGTATTAACTGAGCTTTCAGAGCTTCTCACCAACAGCCAGTGTGGTTCAGCTCAGCACAAATGACTCTGCCATGAGTAGTGTTGTGAACACGAGGTTCTTTGCAGAGCAGCTGCATGTTGCATGCATTACATATGTGCAATCCCATTATAGACAATGGAACATAATACACAGAAGCTGCACAAGCCTTGCAAAGCTCCATGTGCCCTCTGAGTCTCTAAGCACTGCGCACAAGTTGGATCACTTGATTGGTTAATTTGAGTTTTGAGGAAAGCAAAAAGGTAAGAATGCATGCACAGGGCTACATCCTGGTCCTCATGAATGCACAGGAGTCCTGCAACTTCAGCCACATCCCAGGATTGGAACTACTAGTATGCACAGATGTAATGCTGGTGGACAGTGCTTCAAAATTTTTATATCTTCATTACAGAAAAACCCATACACAACATCTGTGTACCAAGTCTGCTGGAACAGAAAGACCTTTACAGGCTTTTAGTACCACTAACGGCCCGTAAATCTGACAATGAACAGAGCCTCAGAAAAGGAGAAGCTCTGGGTAGCTCCTTCTCTTTGCTTGCTGCAGTGATACCAGGTGACTTTCAGAAGAAACGAAGGACCAGGATACATAGCTTCAGAATCAATTTGGTGCATGATTTGGTGCACATCCTTCAGACGATGTACGATTCCTGGGAAGCCATGACACATTATCAGAGGGAAAACATCAGTTCAGAAGTGGCTGGAGTTAGCCATTTTAAACAGTAGAAAAGTCTCATTTTAATTATATACACCCTTTTGGGTGCCATGAAATAGTCCATAAAAGCCACATTTTGGTTACAGGAGCATTTCCCTGCCTCAGGCACGATGACAACAACAACCCCATTCTGCAAGAGGGGCTCAGGAGAGACATAAGGGGTGCAGCAACAGCACAATAAAAAACTCCGGGCAGCCCTGCAAGCCACAGTGAAGCCTGGGCAGCCCAGGGAGTGAAAGCCTAACCTATGGTAGGCACAACTCACTGTTACAGCTCCACCACCAACCCATCTAATTCATATATTTCTATCAGCAAATTCCTGACTGGAATCACAGATCACAAAAAGGACAACCCTTCTGCTAGCAGAAGTGACTCTGCATAGGATATTGTTCTTCCAGATACGTGGGGAAAAAAAGAAATAATCAGTCCCCTCCCTGCATCTGATTTTGTGCCTCTGCATGTTTGTTTGTTTTTTTCTCTTATGTTAGCCTGAACCTTTTCTCACTATGACTTTGGTTCCCCATAAGCATTTCTGCCATGAGGCTCTCTGATATTAACACAGCCACACTACACTACAAACAGAAAAGCATATTGCCAAGGAAAGAAGACATTCCACACACAGAGCTGTGGAGTCTAAAAGTGTAAAGGTTATCTGGTCCAGACCCCTTTACCCTGGAAACTCTGTCCTCATGACTAAATCTTCTGAGCATAACCCTCAGTTTACACAAAGAGAAGACGTGGTGACTAACATAAATACAGGATCAGGCTTCATGACATTCCACACTGTATCTTCAAAGTGTCTCCAGAACTCAGACTTCAGATTTTAACAGATCTGGGAAAAGATTCACGCTTTACTCTATTCTTAAAGAATGGTTATTGAATTTTGGGTACTAAATAAATAACCCTAGTCCACAAATCCCTTTTGCACACAATCCTGCACACTTTATTTAATCTTGGTCTCTATACTTAAATACATGAAGGACTTCCAGTGATAAATATAGTCTTTACTGGTATTATATCATCTTTCTATTTGGCATAGATAATTTTATTTTGCTAAAACCAGTTATGACAGGAAGCATTATTGTATTAGATTATATCATCTCATACATCACCCGAGGCTGACAATGTGAAAATGGGATGAGTACCCCATCACTAAAAAGTGAGCATTGTTATTTTTGTGAGTGGGAAACTCATATTACTGTGTCTGTTGGTTACATATGACTTCAGATAAGTTTTGTCATTTATTTCAGTGTTAATATAATAAATATATAGTAGTACAGATGCCATGCTAGCTTGGTTATGAAAGCTATTTTTAGCCAAAAAGAACTGAATGGAAGACCTGCTCATTTCAGGTTATACAGCAATTTGCTTTCTGTATTTGTTCTAAAATACCATTACTTGGTCAGTAAGAAGTAGCTTCCAGAATACATTTAAATCCCAATTAAAAAAAAAAAAAAATCCCTATATTAGTTCAATAGCAAAGTCCTAAAGGTGTAAAACTATTAACATTGTTGACTGTATTAAATATCAGGAACTACTCAGAAAATTCCTGATAACCAGTCAGCTAGAGGTGAGACTGGTTTGGGAGAACAAAATCTGAGGTTTTCTAATTGTAGTTAAAATTACTGATTTACCAGTTCTTTGGCAGAAGATGCAGCATATAATGGCATTATTCCAAATAATATTTGGAATCACGGAAATATGACACCATCCTGCTTTACAAGATGTGCATCACATCTACATGCCTAGAAGGTTCTGACCACTCCATCCAGCTGCTGCCCACCTGAAGAGATGAGATGTATGAGAGAATCCTTCATGCCACATTCAGCACTTCCCACCACGCTGCCCAGAGACGAGCATCGAAGTCTAACCTAACAGCTTAGGATTCAAACTCAGG